TTGACTGTGAACTTTGATTGTTTTTAAGGTATTTCGAAGATGAAGATGAACAGCAACAGCCTCAACTCGAGTACATTCCTGCTCCCGATAGTCCATCTAATAAAAAATCTGACTGCGATTCTGATTCATCTGAGGACCCATTAGATGCTTTTATGGAAGGATTAGAAAAAGAAGTATGTTATGGAATTTTTTTGCAATTGAATATATAGAGAACAATTTGTAGGTAATCCAAAATTGATTCCCTGTTCAGAATAAAAAAAAAAAAATAATAATAATTTATTGTCTTAGGTAAAAAAAGCAAAAACTTCTGGAAAAAAAGAAAAAAAGGAAGATGAAAAAGGTATTAGACAAGATATCGAAGAAGAGGACATAGAAGAATCATACTATAGGTACATACCTTAAATTGTACTGTAATATTTAGCGTTGCTGGAATATACCTAGAAATAATAATTTATTTTCAAACACTGTTAGGTATATGGAAGAAAATCCAACAGCGGGTCTTGTTGATGAAACTTCAGATATAGAAATTGATTATGACGAAGATGGTAATCCTATAGCACCGCCAAAGAAAAAAGTTGGTACAAAATAAGTGATTCAATTTCCAAGATAATTATAATTAAAAATAAAACTTTTTTCCTAAACACCCTTTTAGTTGATATATAAATATATAATATTAATGTTTAAATTGTCAACACATCAAAGGCAGTATTGCAATTGTTAGTTTTTGAGTTGTACACTTACTATGCTTTAAAATAAATAGTTAGTAGCATATTATAATAAATGATAACATATGGCATATATTTTAAGTATAATCAGATATTAGTTAAATCTTTTCATTTTTAGTTCCTACTTATAATAGGAATCAATCATTTATTGTAATAAAATGCATTAGTTATTCAAGTGAATTTTACTTAATGCTAAGCATTCATTGCTGTATATCTTACTCAGTTGTTCACATTCTCATTTGCTGTAAAAGCCTTAAGTACACTTAAATTGTAAATAACTTAAAAACTAATGATTTTTGCTGAATTTTGATTTCTTACTTTATAAAATAAATGCGTCTGGTAATTTCGATTTATAGCGAAATCTATTTACTATTTTTAATACTACTTAAACATTTTATTATGTATTTGAGATTCATTATAATATATTCTAATATTCTTCTATATTTTTCCCCCAAAGGAAATAGACCCATTACCTCCCATTGATCATTCTTTAATCAAATACAAAAGCTTTGAAAAGAACTTTTACTCTCCACACAATGAAATATCATCTTTAACTGTGGATAAAGTTATTCAATTACGTAAGACTCTTGGTCTCCGAGTAAATGGAGCCGATTTACCTTATCCAGTCACGTCATTTGCTCATTTTAATTTTGATGACGCCCTAATGAAAATTATTCGCAAGTCTGACTATGTACAACCCACACCGATTCAAAGTCAAGCAGTTCCTGCTGCCCTTGCTGGGCGTGATATAATTGGTAAACATAAGATATTTAAAAAAAAAAACTTTTATATTAATATTTTTAACTTATTATAATCGTCCATAGGTATTGCCAAAACTGGTAGTGGTAAAACATTAGCGTTCATATGGCCAATGTTGGTACACATAATGGATCAACCAGAACTGAAAGAAGGTGAAGGTCCAGTTGGTTTGATATTGGCACCTACCAGAGAATTGTCTCAACAAGTATAAATTAATAATCTAAAATAGATTGTTAAAAATTATTTATAAATGTGTTTTGATGTTCAGATCTATGTAGAAGCAAAAAAATTTGGAAAAATCTATAACCTGAGAGTAGTGTGTTGTTATGGTGGAGGTTCAAAGTGGGAACAATCCAAGGCACTTGAAGGAGGTGCCGAAATCATAGTAGGTACTCCTGGTAGAGTAATTGATCTAGTAAAAATGTCTGCAACCAACTTAACTAGAGTAACGTTCCTTGTACTTGATGAAGCTGATAGAATGTTCAATATGGGTTTTGGTAAGTATTAATGGGATTTTTTTAAGTTTGGTGTGACAATTTTTTTAGTATCATATTTGTTAATGTTTAGAACCTCAAGTGCGTTCCATTTGTGACCATGTGAGACCAGATCGCCAAACATTGTTGTTTTCTGCCACATTTAAAAAGAAAATTGAAAAGTTGGCACGTGACATTCTTACTGATCCTATAAGAATTGTTCAAGGGGATGTTGGTGAAGCAAACACTGATGTAGCACAAATTATGTTGGTGATGCCACAGAGTGACAAGTGCCAATGGCTATTGGATAATATAGTTCAATTTACATCAACAGGATCTATTCTCGTATTCGTTACTAAAAAAGTCGGTTCAATTTAGACATGAAATAAATAAATGAAAAATATAATAAATTTAAACAATTTATAGTTGGATGCAGAACAACTAGCCAGTACGTTGAGTCTAAAGGAGTATGAAGTGTTGCTGTTACACGGTGACATGGATCAAGCCGAAAGAAACAAAGTAATAACAAAATTCAAAAAACAAGAAGTCAACATAATGGTAGCCACAGATGTTGCTGGTAAGATCATATCTTTTTGTAATAATCGTCTGAAATAATACATTTAAAATGAAAATGAATATAATATATTTGAGAAACCAGATTTGTCACAAAACTCAACATTTCTGAAAGATTACAGAACATGTTAATATAGAGTTGCTCTTGATTCCTTCAATTTGCACTGCAAAAACTATTTTTAATGGCGGAAAAGTCGAGATTCTCTTGAAATTTGTCGATATACAAAATATAAAGAATCCAAAACTGCAATAAAACATGATTCTATTTTTTTTGGACAAGTTGGGGTTTTCAAACAATAATGTCACTTATAATTTATAATTAATATTTGTATGTTTTTTTTAATTTATGTAGCTAGAGGTCTAGATATAGCTCATATCAGAACAGTTGTGAATTATGACATAGCTAGAGATATTGACACACATACACATCGTATTGGAAGAACTGGTAAAATATTTATTATTTGTCTGTTTAACAGATTTATTTTATAATATAAAATGTTATTTTCAGGTCGAGCGGGAGAAAAAGGTACAGCATTTACTCTAGTCACACCAAAAGACCATGAATTTGCTGGTCACTTGGTACGAAGTCTTGAGGGTGTAGGGCAGGAAGTTCCAAAACCACTTATAGATCTTGCCATGCAGGTAAAGCATCATAATTGAACTAATTGAAACTATCATTTAACTATATATTATTCTAGAGCTCTTGGTTCAGAAAAAGTCGTTTCAAAGGCGGAAAGGGTAAATCAGTAACTGCTGGGGGCGCTGGACTGGGATATCGAGATCCGTCAGGTTCCAATAATTTTAATGTTGGTAGTGTTCTATTTCAATGAGTTTATTAATAATATAATATAATGTGACATAATAAATTTTATATTGTAGGCATCGAGTTCGTATCAGTGTCCAAAACCTGCAGCTGCAGTACTCCCAGCATCAAAAGGTGGTCCTGGAGCAGGAAGACTGTTGGCACTAAAAGAAGCATTTAAAATGCAATACCAAAACCAAGTATTAAAATATTTATACTACTTTATGGTTTATAATCTTCTAAAATTATTAATGTTCATGTATTAACTTTTATTATAATGATTACAGTTTAAAGCCAGTGAAGATCACACTTGGGAACAAACGGTCGGATCAAGTTCATCAGTAAAAGTACACACTGGTCCATTAAAAGAAAGAAAAGCCAAAAAAAACCGATGGGACAACTGAAAAATGTATATACAAGTAACAATACTTAGATTTTGTTGGAGCTTAAACCTATTTAACTATTTAAATCATAGGACTTTAATAACGACTTTAGTAGTTGTCTTAATAATAAAAAATTTTTACAAATTTTTAACACATGCAAAATTTTATTTTATTTTTCAAAAAATAAAAATCATTTATCAATGATATATTTTGTTTATATACACAACTTTCCGTATCGTGTTATGAGAGACGGCCTTAGGCAGGGGCCATGGGCCTTACCCATTTGTATGAAGTTTTGGACCTAGAGTTCTAAAAATTATATTTTAAGGCCTCACCTAAAACAAATTTCCCCAGGCCTAGCTCCACCTTAAGGCCGTTCTGCGTGCCATGCTATATTTATGAACCCACTGAGATTCCAAACAAAAATATGTGAACAATTAATTGATGCTTGGTTATAACTTTAAGTGTTACAAAAAATACATACAATAAATTAGTAGCATTCTCATCACGTAATTAAACATAATTTATTATTTTCTATACATTTTAAAATGAAGTAGTTATTAATTGTTGATGAATCATTAATAATGATTTGTTATAGTACGGAAAACAAAATGTGAGTTGTGAGCGTTATTTACTTAAGCTTTTACAATATTCAGTTTGTGAGTACATAATATACTGTAGTATTTAAGGTTCAACCGTAATACTAAATAATCAATAATTAATGCAACTCTTATTATTACAAAATGATTCTTTATTATAATTAACAACTGTTACATGTCTATCAAGCCAATGCTTCTTATGCCGTAGCCTGCCATAGACATACTGATTAAGATCTACTGCTATCATATTATCCTATTACAAACATAACTGTGTGCCCAACATTACAACTCAAACACTACAGTTCCTCCTCTCTAAATAAAAAAATACAATAGACCTTATTTATAAAAATATTTAAAGTATACAATACATTTTTTTTTTTTTTTAATTATAAATGATACAAAACATATATATATATATAATGTAATTACAATCACACAATTGGAATACATTTTTTTTTTTTTAATTATAAATGATACAAAACATATATATATATAATGTAATTACAATCACACAATTGGAATAAATTTTTTTTTTTTTAATTATAAATGATACAAAACATATATATATATATATATATAATGTAATTACAATCACACAATTGGAATACATTTTTTTTTTTATTAAATTAATTACTACAGAAACATATTTATCTTATATAGGTATACAAATAGAAAGTAACTAATAATTATAAATTTAAACGATTAGGTGCTTTAATTACTCTACCACTCTTCCTAACCAAATTCTCACATACTATATTATCATCATTCCCATCTTGTTCATGTAAGACCTCCTCACTACCAATAGTTCTCTCCTCAAAAGATTTTTCTGCCTTATCATCCTCCTCACTATACGGATTTACTAATACTGTTTGTTCTATTTGACCACTAGGAATCTTACACTGCCTGTCAATTATTTGATTTAGATGTCTCTTCACAACATTATTATCTAAAGTTTTAATTAAGTAAGTTACCGGTGATAATTTTTTCCACACATTACCCGGTATCCACTTATCCCCTGTGCTATAATTCTTACACATTATGCTATCTCCAACTTCATAACTCTTCACTCTACCTCCTCTATAGGTCTTTTTAGCATTTTCCAAACTTTAATTATATTTATGTTTAGCAAAAGGTACTAATCTATCAAGTGATGTATTTAAAGGCCTGCCTAAATGCAACTCTGCTGGACTAACTCCAGTCGCACAATGTTTAGTACTATTATATGTTAAAACAAAATTACAAATATTAGTATCCATGTCAGTATTTTTAGCACATTTCTTTAAGAATTGTTTAAAAGTTTTAACTGTATTCTCCGCTGCCCCATTCGAAGAGGGGTTGTATGGTGGAGTTCTAATATGAAATACACCATTTTTGCTAAGGAATTCACTCATCTCGGTAGAACATAGAGAAGACCCATTGTCTGTAACCAATTTTTCAGGAATGCCCCATAACGAAAAATACTCCTTTAATATTTTACGTTCGGTTTTTAAATTCTTCAACTTATATTCAATTTCGTTTTCAGATAATTCTGGTGGTTTTTCATGTTTTTCCAAGTGCCGTTTCAAAGTGACGGTAATTGAAAACACCCGATCGCAGTACTTACAAATTTAAGGAGTGATTTTAGCGGTTTCTTCATTATTAGTTGGAGCTGGTTCAGGTTCTCTATTTAGTGCACTGCATGTATTTAAATGGTTTTTGACAGCTGCTTCGCTCAAAAGTACCTTCAGAAACATCTTGCATACCCATTTAGTAGGGTAATCAGCGTGTGATCCATCATAACGTACCATAGTCCGTGGACAAAGTAATTTTTCTTTCGGTTGGGGGGTTGGGACATTCTTGTTCTTCCTTCGTTTCCGTGACTTGCAGTTCATAAATGGATTTTTTGACATCTTTTTTTACTTCCATACAAATGTCCAAATCTACAATCGTTTTGACATTGGTAGTAATCAGATTAATATAAAATTTATCACATACAACATCATTAATAGAATCTGTTCCACTCACTGGTAATCTAGATAGTGCGTCCGCATTACCATTGTCAATCCCTTTAATGAATTCTATTTTATAAGAATACCCTGATAAAAATACAGCGTAGCGTTGCAGTCTGTGAGCAGCCATAGTTGGTATGCCTACCACTAGGAATCTTACACTGCCTGTCAATTATTTGATTTAGATGTCTCTTCACAACATTATTATCTAAAGTTTTAATTAAGTAAGTTACCGGTGATAATTTTTTCCACACATTACCCGGTATCCACTTATCCCCTGTGCTATAATTCTTACACATTATGCTATCTCCAACTTCATAACTCTTCACTCTACCTCCTCTATAGGTCTATTATATTTATGTTTAGCAAAAGGTACTAATCTATCAAGTGATGTATTTAAAGGCCTGCCTAAATGCAACTCTGCTGGACTAACTCCAGTCGCACAATGTTTAGTACTATTATATGTTAAAACAAAATTACAAATATTAGTATCCATGTCAGTATTTTTAGCACATTTCTTTAAGAATTGTTTAAAAGTTTTAACTGTATTCTCCGCTGCCCCATTCGAAGAGGGGTTGTATGGTGGAGTTCTAATATGAAATACACCATTTTTGCTAAGGAATTCACTCATCTCGGTAGAACATAGAGAAGACCCATTGTCTGTAACCAATTTTTCAGGAATGCCCCATAACGAAAAATACTCCTTTAATATTTTACGTTCGGTTTTTAAATTCTTCAACTTATATTCAATTTCGTTTTCAGATAATTCTGGTGGTTTTTTATGTTTTTCCAAGTGCCGTTTCAAAGTGACGGTAATTGAAAACACCCGATCGCAGTACTTACAAATGTAAGGAGTGATTTTAGCGGTTTCTTCATTATTAGTTGGAGCTGGTTCAGGTTCTCTATTTAGTGCACTGCATGTATTTAAATGGTTTTTGACAGCGGCTTCGCTCAAAAGTTCCTTCAGAAACATCTTGCATACCCATTTAGTAGGGTAATCAGCGTGTGATCCATCATAACGTACCATAGTCCGTGGACAAAGTAATTTTTCTTTCGGTTGGAGGGTTGGGACATTCTTGTTCTTCCTTCGTTTCCGTGACTTGCAGTTCATAAATGGATTTTTTGACATCTTTTTTTACTTCCATACAAATGTCCAAATCTACAATCGTTTTGACATTGGTAGTAATCAGATTAATATAAAATTTATCACATACAACATCATTAATAGAATCTGTTCCACTCACTGGTAATCTAGATAGTGCGTCCGCATTACCATTGTCAATCCCTTTAATGAATTCTATTTTATAAGAATACCCTGATAAAAATACAGCGTAGCGTTGCAGTCTGTGAGCAGCCATAGTTGGTATGCCTACCACTAGGAATCTTACACTGCCTGTCAATTATTTGATTTAGATGTCTCTTCACAACATTATTATCTAAAGTTTTAATTAAGTAAGTTACCGGTGATAATTTTTTCCACACATTACCCGGTATCCACTTATCCCCTGTGCTATAATTCTTACACATTATGCTATCTCCAACTTCATAACTCTTCACTCTACCTCCTCTATAGGTCTTTTTAGCATTTTCCAAACTTTAATTATATTTATGTTTAGCAAAAGGTACTAATCTATCAAGTGATGTATTTAAAGGCCTGCCTAAATGCAACTCTGCTGGACTAACTCCAGTCGCACAATGTTTAGTACTATTATATGTTAAAACAAAATTACAAATATTAGTATCCATGTCAGTATTTTTAGCACATTTCTTTAAGAATTGTTTAAAAGTTTTAACTGTATTCTCCGCTGCCCCATTCGAAGAGGGGTTGTATGGTGGAGTTCTAATATGAAATACACCATTTTTGCTAAGGAATTCACTCATCTCGGTAGAACATAGAGAAGACCCATTGTCTGTAACCAATTTTTCAGGAATGCCCCATAACGAAAAATACTCCTTTAATATTTTACGTTCGGTTTTTAAATTCTTCAACTTATATTCAATTTCGTTTTCAGATAATTCTGGTGGTTTTTTATGTTTTTCCAAGTGCCGTTTCAAAGTGACGGTAATTGAAAACACCCGATCGCAGTACTTACAAATGTAAGGAGTGATTTTAGCGGTTTCTTCATTATTAGTTGGAGCTGGTTCAGGTTCTCTATTTAGTGCACTGCATGTATTTAAATGGTTTTTGACAGCGGCTTCGCTCAAAAGTTCCTTCAGAAACATCTTGCATACCCATTTAGTAGGGTAATCAGCGTGTGATCCATCATAACGTACCATAGTCCGTGGACAAAGTAATTTTTCTTTCGGTTGGGGGGTTGGGACATTCTTGTTCTTCCTTCGTTTCCGTGACTTGCAGTTCATAAATGGATTTTTTGACATCTTTTTTTACTTCCATACAAATGTCCAAATCTACAATCGTTTTGACATTGGTAGTAATCAGATTAATATAAAATTTATCACATACAACATCATTAATAGAATCTGTTCCACTCACTGGTAATCTAGATAGTGCGTCCGCATTACCATTGTCAATCCCTTTAATGAATTCTATTTTATAAGAATACCCTGATAAAAATACAGCGTAGCGTTGCAGTCTGTGAGCAGCCATAGTTGGTATGCCTACCACTAGGAATCTTACACTGCCTGTCAATTATTTGATTTAGATGTCTCTTCACAACATTATTATCTAAAGTTTTAATTAAGTAAGTTACCGGTGATAATTTTTTCCACACATTACCCGGTATCCACTTATCCCCTATGCTATAATTCTTACACATTATGCTATCTCCAACTTCATAACTCTTCACTCTACCTCCTCTATAGGTCTTTTTAGCATTTTCCAAACTTTAATTATATTTATGTTTAGCAAAAGGTACTAATCTATCAAGTGATGTATTTAAAGGCCTGCCTAAATGCAACTCTGCTGGACTAACTCCAGTCGCACAATGTTTAGTACTATTATATGTTAAAACAAAATTACAAATATTAGTATCCATGTCAGTATTTTTAGCACATTTCTTTAAGAATTGTTTAAAAGTTTTAACTGTATTCTCCGCTGCCCCATTCGAAGAGGGGTTGTATGGTGGAGTTCTAATATGAAATACACCATTTTTGCTAAGGAATTCACTCATCTCGGTAGAACATAGAGAAGACCCATTGTCTGTAACCAATTTTTCAGGAATGCCCCATAACGAAAAATACTCCTTTAATATTTTACGTTCGGTTTTTAAATTCTTCAACTTATATTCAATTTCGTTTTCAGATAATTCTGGTGGTTTTTTATGTTTTTCCAAGTGCCGTTTCAAAGTGACGGTAATATTGAAAACACCCGATCGCAGTACTTACAAATGACGGGCAACAAGTCATAACGTGGTATTGCCATTTTTATCAAAATTGAGTTATACATCGATTCTAATTGAAAATATGGCGGGAAGTTCATTTCTGTCATTAATTCGTTGCTAACTTCACTTATATTAAAGAAAAATGCAATTCAAAAAGTGTAATTTAGGTCAAAACGTTGTATTTCCATACTCCTTTTTTTTCATAACGTGTTAATTCCATTTTTGTGTCAAAACGTATTATTTCCTATACATAAGGTATAGGGTTCAATATCCTGTTTTCTCAAAAGGTGTCAATTCCAATACATTTTTTCAGAACGTATTATTTCCATAAATTGTGACATAACGTAGTATTTCCCATGCTAAATATCCGAAGCAACGTGTAATTTTTATCAAAACGTATTATTACCAAAATAAATATTATTCCGGTTTGAAAAATAATAAAGTTTTAAGTTTTTGTAAATACACAGCTGTGCGCTGGCAGTGAATGTGTTATCATTTAATAAGTAAACAAACATTCCGATATTTCTAAAAATAGTTTATTCCTTTAAGTATATTGGTTTGTGTATAGCGAGTTATCAAATTATGTGTGTTGTGGTAATGTGATACCATAAATATTTTAATGTCACCTACCGAAGTTCTGAATAATAATTATTATTGTTCTGTCGTTCAAATGTTCAATATAATAATATAGGTAATTTATTATTATAATACCTATTATATGAATTACTTTCCTTTGCAATACAATTGAAATTAGAATGAAACGCTCAAGAAGAATGATTGAAGCTGCTAAAAAGGTAAGAAGTAACCAAAATACTGAAATAGACACGTTTTTATAAATGTTGGTTTATAAATTAAATAATAGGTCTCCAGAAATCTTTTTCCACCTTCAACTCAAGCAGGGAAGCGTGATATTGATAAATTAGCCAATAAAACTGAAGTAAGTAGGATATTTTACCTTATAATAAAATTAATATTAAAATATATATTTGACATAATTATATATTTCTTTAGATATTGTTAAAACTAATGTTTATTTGTTTAAATATTATACCCTATTCTGTCATAATACTGTACCGTTTTGATAAATTAATACTCCTTTCCCTAATACCTCTACTAAAATGTTAAATGGTAGGTAATAAATTAATATTGTGTATTTTTTTAAATTATTATTATAAAGATTATTCATCAATATTCAATAATACTTATTAGTAATAACTAATAAGTTAAATAGGTAGTTACTTAAAAGGTACCTAATATTAATAATTTAAAAACATTTACTAATATTTTATGTGCCTTGTGTACAAATAAATAAATATTAAAATGTATAATGTAAATTCATCTAAAGTTAGTAGGAGGTAGTTGACGTACATTTTACAAAAAGAGAAATTATAATTTTTTTTTTTTATTAAGTCAATATTATATTAAGCTCCAAAATCTTTTAAAATGTAGAAAAAAAGTTAGACTAGTGATGAAAACATGGATTTCTGAACCTATAAGAAAATTTATTATTTAATATTTATTTTAAAATCTCTATCTTAATATTTTACTGTTGTATATATATTTGTATTGATTTATTTTTTTTATATTTATGAATGTAGATCAGTATGTATATCATATGTATTTTTGTCTAGGATAAAATTAATGAGTGGTTAATGTCTTGTGAAAAAAAATCATTCAGTAACAGCAGCAAATCTAACTCCATTAAAGTATAATAATATATTAAAAATTAGATACAATAAATTATAGAAAAATATGTGTCCTAGCAAATTTTAATCACACAACAACTAATATTATATTATTATATTTTAGGATACTGCTTATGAAGAACAAAACAAAATTGATTTATCTGTCAACAAAATCGATGAAAATGTATTCAATGTATGCAAATATAATAATATAGTCTTAGGGTAATTGAAATAATTATTAAAAGAGTATTTTTTGTCTTGTAGGACAAAGTTACAAATTGGTTAAATGCATGTCAACCACTGAATTATAACAACTCGAGAGACATTATTAATATGGTGAGATTGTTTAAGTGGAGTTACCTATTTATTGAATTAAGCTAATGTTTGAAATTATATTTAATATTTTTAGAACCAGGATCTTCTGAATATTAGTGAAAATACAGAGCTTACAGACACTTTATTATTTTCAAATACTCCTGAGGTAAAAATATGAAAATTGTATTAATTTTTACATTATTTTAATTAGTGTTATTTAATATATATATAGAATGATCTAGACATCCAAGAAATGGATTTTATTTACAACAATGATGAAGTAGTTCCTGACAATAACACACCACTTGATGACTTGTTTCCTATTGTTATACAAATACCATGCACTACTGATCTTCAAATAACTGAACATGATACACCTGCTAAAATCTCAAACATAAGTTCAAATCCTGAGTATGCTGAACCTGTACAGACAAATCCAAGTGGTAGAAAAAGAAATAAAATAAATCAAAAGAAAATAAGACAAATACAATTAAACAAAATTCCTCATGAGTGGTTACTTACATGTCCTCACTCCAATAAAGTATCAAAAAAATGTAATGTATCAATTTTAAAGCCAACTGATATAAGCGCTTTCAAAACAAATTTATGTGATTTATCTTCCAAAATAGAACAAGATAAATTCCTCCTTACAATGATGAAAATTAAATGTCCAATGAGAACGGATCGTCGCAAAGGAAACAAAGAAGAAAAAACAGTGATTGTTTATTATTTGCCTACAGAAAAAGGTGACCTTCTTCAAGTCTGTTCAATTGCATTTACTGACATTACAAGAATTACAAAAAGGCGTTTAAATATACTAGCTTTAAACTTCAAAAAAAGTCATAGTAGCCCCAAAGAAAAAAGAGGAGGATTTAGTATTACAAGGGTAAATACATTTGACGAAATAACTATATCTATTAAAAACCATATAGAATCTTTTAAAAGTAAAAAGAGTCATTATTGTAGAGAAGATACAGGCCGTAGTTACTTGCAACCCGGTTTATCTGTGGCAGTTATGTGGAAACATTGGAAGAAAAAGAGGGAAGTTAGTAATCAATCTACTGCATCTCTAAGTAAATATTATGATGTTTTTTGTAATAATTTTAATTTGAGTTTTGGACATCCGAGACAAGATGTCTGTTCATTTTGTTCTGAAACTTCAATTAAAATAAAAAATGAAATTGATATTCAGAAAAAAGTTGATTTGGAAGATGTATTATTGGAACACAAAAATAAATCAAAATGTTTTTCTCGAATGATGGCAGAAAAATTACCGAATACTGTTCAGGTATGTTTTGATATGATGCAAAATCAACCGCTTCCTAAACTGAGTGTCACAGATACATTTTATAGTAGGCAAGCATGGGTCTATAACCTTACTTTTGTTATAATGTCAGAGAATGACCAAAGTAAAGATAACTGCTACTTATATACATGGCATGAAGGTGAAAGTGGTCGTGGACCAAATGAGATTGGATCAGCTTTGTTAAACTTTTTGGACATTCTTGAAGAACGGTTCAAAACAGAGCTAAGACCACCCACGAACCTTAACCTTTATTCCGACTCATGCTCTGGTCAAAATAAAAATAAATTTATAATGGGTTTATTACTTTATTATATGAATTGTAAAGAGACTATATTTGATAAAATCAAACACATTTTTCCTATCAGAGGACACAGTTATATGGCTGCAGATCAAGTATTTGGTAGGATAGAAAAAGTTCTTCGCAAAAAAGAAATAATTGTGTGTCCTACGCAATACCATGATATTTTCAAACAATTTTGCCAGGTAAAAACCTATGAAAATGATTTTAAAGTGTACAATATAAAAGAAGCATGCAAGTCCATTATAAATCCAAAAGGATTTAAACTAACTGAACAAAAGATGTTGTTGTACGAAAAAGGCAAAAAAACCATTGGTGTTTCACAAAACTATACTGACGATTATGTTTATTTTAAAATTATAAAAAAAAATTCAAGAATTGAATTATTGGGAACATTGGAAATCCTTAAAAAACAAAACCACGTGAAACCCCCAAAACAAAAGGATATAAAAAATTTGATGCGTTTTTTCACAGTACCAACAACCACTTCATTTTATGAAGACATTTTTAAATCACATGAATTTGATTCGATTGAAGACTCAGCTCTTAACGAAGAAGGTGCTTGCATTTATTCAGAAGATACATCTTATTAAAATAAGTAGTTTAATTTATTATTTTATTATAATAAATTGTCATTTATTTTTTATTTCGTTTTATAATATTATATGTTATTATGTATACAATAATATATTGTTAAAAAAAATATAAAGGTTGAAGTTTAAAGATTAAACTATTAGTGTTTTAAAATTTAATAGAATGCAGTTAGTTTATTACTAAAAATGTATATATAATCGTATTTATCTACTTACCTATTTATCAGCATATAGATCAATGAGTACTTTTTGCAATAAGTTATTGTTTTTCACATTTTCAGATTTTAATAATTTATTATTAAAATAACGTTTTATCAAAACGCAATATTTCCAACAATTCTGTCTAAACGTGTTATTTCCGGAAATAACACGTTTTGAAAAAAGTGATTTTTAATTTTGACGAAAAAAAACCATTTAAAATGTGAATAAAGATCAATTTTCTTCCATAAATAAGTACAATTCCGTATGTTTTACTCTTAAAGACAAAAATAAAACAGTTAAATGCAAAACTTTAAGAGCTATAAGTCAAAACATAAAAACCGTTTTTATGAAGAACTGTAATTTTGGCAATACCACGTTATGACTTGTCGCCCTTCAAATGTAAGGAGTGATTTTAGCGGTTTCTTCATTATTAGTTGGAGCTGGTTCAGGTTCTCTATTTAGTGCACTGCATGTATTTAAATGGTTTTTGACAGCGGCTTCGCTCAAAAGTTCCTTCAGAAACATCTTGCATACCCATTTAGTAGGGTAATCAGCGTGTGAACCATCATAACGTACCATAGTCCGTGGACAAAGTAATTTTTCTTTCGGTTGGAGGGTTGGGACATTCTTGTTCTTCCTTCGTTTCCGTGACTTGCAGTTCATAAATGGATTTTTTGACATCTTTTTTTACTTCCATACAAATGTCCAAATCTACAATCGTTTTGACATTGGTAGTAATCAGATTAATATAAAATTTATCACATACAACATCATTAATAGAATCTGTTCCACTCACTGGTAATCTAGATAGTGCGTCCGCATTACCATTGTCAATCCCTTTAATGAATTCTATTTTATAAGAATACCCTGATAAAAATACAGCGTAGCGTTGCAGTCTGTGAGCAGCCATAGTTGGTATGCCTACCACTAGGAATCTTACACTGCCTGTCAATTATTTGATTTAGATGTCTCTTCACAACATTATTATCTAAAGTTTTAATTAAGTAAGTTACCGGTGATAATTTTTTCCACACATTACCCGGTATCCACTTATCCCCTGTGCTATAATTCTTACACATTATGTTATCTCCAACTTCATAACTCTTCACTCTACCTCCTCTATAGGTCTTTTTAGCATTTTCCAAACTTTAATTATATTTATGTTTAGCAAAAGGTACTAATCTATCAAGTGATGTATTTAAAGGCCTGCCTAAATGCAACTCTGCTGGACTAACTCCAGTCGCACAATGTTTAGTACTATTATATGTTAAAACAAAATTACAAATATTAGTATCCATGTCAGTATTTTTAGCACATTTCTTTAAGAATTGTTTAAAAGTTTTAACTGTATTCTCCGCTGCCCCATTCGAAGAGGGGTTGTATGGTGGAGTTCTAATATGAAATACACCATTTTTGCTAAGGAATTCACTCATCTCGGTAGAACATAGAGAAGACCCATTGTCTGTAACCAATTTTTCAGGAATGCCCCATAACGAAAAATACTCCTTTAATATTTTACGTTCGGTTTTTAAATTCTTCAACTTATATTCAATTTCGTTTTCAGATAATTCTGGTGGTTTTTCATGTTTTTCCAAGTGCCGTTTCAAAGTGACGGTAATTGAAAACACCCGATCGCATTAATTACAAATGTAAGGAGTGATTTTAGCGGTTTCTTCATTATTAGTTGGAGCTGGTTCAGGTTCTCTATTTAGTGCACTGCATGTATTTAAATGGTTTTTGACAGCGGCTTCGCTCAAAAGTTCCTTCAGAAACATCTTGCATACCCATTTAGTAGGGTAATCAGCGTGTGATCCATCATAACGTACCATAGTCCGTGGACAAAGTAATTTTTCTTTCGGTTGGGGGGTTGGGACATTCTTGTTCTTCCTTCGTTTCCGTGACTTGCAGTTCATAAATGGATTTTTTGACATCTTTTTTTACTTCCATACAAATGTCCAAATCTACAATCGTTTTGACATTGGTAGTAATCAGATTAATATAAAATTTATCACATACAACATCATTAATAGAATCTGTTCCACTCACTGGTAATCTAGATAGTGCGTCCGCATTACCATTGTCAATCCCTTTAATGAATTCTATTTTATAAGAATACCCTGATAAAAATACAGCGTAGCGTTGCAGTCTGTGAGCAGCCATAGTTGGTATGCCTACCACTAGGAATCTTACACTGCCTGTCAATTATTTGATTTAGATGTCTCTTCACAACATTATTATCTAAAGTTTTAATTAAGTAAGTTACCGGTGATAATTTTTTCCACACATTACCCGGTATCCACTTATCCCCTATGCTATAATTCTTACACATTATGCTATCTCCAACTTCATAACTCTTCACTCTACCTCCTCTATAGGTCTTTTTAGCATTTTCCAAACTTTAATTATATTTATGTTTAGCAAAAGGTACTAATCTATCAAGTGATGTATTTAAAGGCCTGCCTAAATGCAACTCTGCTGGACTAACTCCAGTCGCACAATGTTTAGTACTATTATATGTTAAAACAAAATTACAAATATTAGTATCCATGTCAGTATTTTTAGCACATTTCTTTAAGAATTGTTTAAAAGTTTTAACTGTATTCTCCGCTGCCCCATTCGAAGAGGGGTTGTATGGTGGAGTTCTAATATGAAATACACCATTTTTGCTAAGGAATTCACTCATCTCGGTAGAACATAGAGAAGACCCATTGTCTGTAACCAATTTTTCAGGAATGCCCCATAACGAAAAATACTCCTTTAATATTTTACGTTCGGTTTTTAAATTCTTCAACTTATATTCAATTTCGTTTTCAGATAATTCTGGTGGTTTTTTATGTTTTTCCAAGTGCCGTTTCAAAGTGACGGTAATTGAAAACACCCGATCGCAGTACTTACAAATGTAAGGAGTGATTTTAGCGGTTTCTTCATTATTAGTTGGAGCTGGTTCAGGTTCTCTATTTAGTGCACTGCATGTATTTAAATGGTTTTTGACAGCGGCTTCGCTCAAAAGTTCCTTCAGAAACATCTTGCATACCCATTTAGTAGGGTAATCAGCGTGTGATCCATCATAACGTACCATAGTCCGTGGACAAAGTAATTTTTCTTTCGGTTGGAGGGTTGGGACATTCTTGTTCTTCCTTCGTTTCCGTGACTTGCAGTTCATAAATGGATTTTTTGACATCTTTTTTTACTTCCATACAAATGTCCAAATCTACAATCGTTTTGACATTGGTAGTAATCAGATTAATATAAAATTTATCACATACAACATCATTAATAGAATCTGTTCCACTCACTGGTAATCTAGATAGTGCGTCCGCATTACCATTGTCAATCCCTTTAATGAATTCTATTTTATAAGAATACCCTGATAAAAATACAGCGTAGCGTTGCAGTCTGTGAGCAGCCATAGTTGGTATGCCTACCACTAGGAATCTTACACTGCCTGTCAATTATTTGATTTAGATGTCTCTTCACAACATTATTATCTAAAGTTTTAATTAAGTAAGTTACCGGTGATAATTTTTTCCACACATTACCCGGTATCCACTTATCCCCTGTGCTATAATTCTTACACATTATGCTATCTCCAACTTCATAACTCTTCACTCTACCTCCTCTATAGGTCTTTTTAGCATTTTCCAAACTTTAATTATATTTATGTTTAGCAAAAGGTACTAATCTATCAAGTGATGTATTTAAAGGCCTGCCTAAATGCAACTCTGCTGGACTAACTCCAGTCGCACAATGTTTAGTACTATTATATGTTAAAACAAAATTACAAATATTAGTATCCATGTCAGTATTTTTAGCACATTTCTTTAAGAATTGTTTAAAAGTTTTAACTGTATTCTCCGCTGCCCCATTCGAAGAGGGGTTGTATGGTGGAGTTCTAATATGAAATACACCATTTTTGCTAAGGAATTCACTCATCTCGGTAGAACATAGAGAAGACCCATTGTCTGTAACCAATTTTTCAGGAATGCCCCATAACGAAAAATACTCCTTTAATATTTTACGTTCGGTTTTTAAATTCTTCAACTTATATTCAATTTCGTTTTCAGATAATTCTGGTGGTTTTTTATGTTTTTCCAAGTGCCGTTTCAAAGTGACGGTAATTGAAAACACCCGATCGCAGTACTTACAAATGTAAGGAGTGATTTTAGCGGTTTCTTCATTATTAGTTGGAGCTGGTTCAGGTTCTCTATTTAGTGCACTGCATGTATTTAAATGGTTTTTGACAGCGGCTTCGCTCAAAAGTTCCTTCAGAAACATCTTGCATACCCATTTAGTAGGGTAATCAGCGTGTGATCCATCATAACGTACCATAGTCCGTGGACAAAGTAATTTTTCTTTCGGTTGGAGGGTTGGGACATTCTTGTTCTTCCTTCGTTTCCGTGACTTGCAGTTCATAAATGGATTTTTTGACATCTTTTTTTACTTCCATACAAATGTCCAAATCTACAATCGTTTTGACATTGGTAGTAATCAGATTAATATAAAATTTATCACATACAACATCATTAATAGAATCTGTTCCACTCACTGGTAATCTAGATAGTGCGTCCGCATTACCATTGTCAATCCCTTTAATGAATTCTATTTTATAAGAATACCCTGATAAAAATACAGCGTAGCGTTGCAGTCTGTGAGCAGCCATAGTTGGTATGCCTACCACTAGGAATCTTACACTGCCTGTCAATTATTTGATTTAGATGTCTCTTCACAACATTATTATCTAAAGTTTTAATTAAGTAAGTTACCGGTGATAATTTTTTCCACACATTACCCGGTATCCACTTATCCCCTGTGCTATAATTCTTACACATTATGCTATCTCCAACTTCATAACTCTTCACTCTACCTCCTCTATAGGTCTTTTTAGCATTTTCCAAACTTTAATTATATTTATGTTTAGCAAAAGGTACTAATCTATCAAGTGATGTATTTAAAGGCCTGCCTAAATGCAACTCTGCTGGACTAACTCCAGTCGCACAATGTTTAGTACTATTATATGTTAAAACAAAATTACAAATATTAGTATCCATGTCAGTATTTTTAGCACATTTCTTTAAGAATTGTTTAAAAGTTTTAACTGTATTCTCCGCTGCCCCATTCGAAGAGGGGTTGTATGGTGGAGTTCTAATATGAAATACACCATTTTTGCTAAGGAATTCACTCATCTCGGTAGAACATAGAGAAGACCCATTGTCTGTAACCAATTTTTCAGGAATGCCCCATAACGAAAAATACTCCTTTAATATTTTACGTTCGGTTTTTAAATTCTTCAACTTATATTCAATTTCGTTTTCAGATAATTCTGGTGGTTTTTTATGTTTTTCCAAGTGCCGTTTCAAAGTGACGGTAATTGAAAACACCCGATCGCAGTACTTACAAATGTAAGGAGTGATTTTAGCGGTTTCTTCATTATTAGTTGGAGCTGGTTCAGGTTCTCTATTTAGTGCACTGCATGTATTTAAATGGTTTTTGACAGCGGCTTCGCTCAAAAGTTCCTTCAGAAACATCTTGCATACCCATTTAGTAGGGTAATCAGCGTGTGATCCATCATAACGTACCATAGTCCGTGGACAAAGTAATTTTTCTTTCGGTTGGGGGGTTGGGACATTCTTGTTCTTCCTTCGTTTCCGTGACTTGCAGTTCATAAATGGATTTTTTGACATCTTTTTTTACTTCCATACAAATGTCCAAATCTACAATCGTTTTGACATTGGTAGTAATCAGATTAATATAAAATTTATCACATACAACATCATTAATAGAATCTGTTCCACTCACTGGTAATCTAGATAGTGCGTCCGCATTACCATTGTCAATCCCTTTAATGAATTCTATTTTATAAGAATACCCTGATAAAAATACAGCGTAGCGTTGCAGTCTGTGAGCAGCCATAGTTGGTATGCCTACCACTAGGAATCTTACACTGCCTGTCAATTATTTGATTTAGATGTCTCTTCACAACATTATTATCTAAAGTTTTAATTAAGTAAGTTACCGGTGATAATTTTTTCCACACATTACCCGGTATCCACTTATCCCCTATGCTATAATTCTTACACATTATGCTATCTCCAACTTCATAACTCTTCACTCTACCTCCTCTATAGGTCTTTTTAGCATTTTCCAAACTTTAATTATATTTATGTTTAGCAAAAGGTACTAATCTATCAAGTGATGTATTTAAAGGCCTGCCTAAATGCAACTCTGCTGGACTAACTCCAGTCGCACAATGTTTAGTACTATTATATGTTAAAACAAAATTACAAATATTAGTATCCATGTCAGTATTTTTAGCACATTTCTTTAAGAATTGTTTAAAAGTTTTAACTGTATTCTCCGCTGCCCCATTCGAAGAGGGGTTGTATGGTGGAGTTCTAATATGAAATACACCATTTTTGCTAAGGAATTCACTCATCTCGGTAGAACATAGAGAAGACCCATTGTCTGTAACCAATTTTTCAGGAATGCCCCATAACGAAAAATACTCCTTTAATATTTTACGTTCGGTTTTTAAATTCTTCAACTTATATTCAATTTCGTTTTCAGATAATTCTGGTGGTTTTTTATGTTTTTCCAAGTGCCGTTTCAAAGTGACGGTAATTGAAAACACCCGATCGCAGTACTTACAAATGTAAGGAGTGATTTTAGCGGTTTCTTCATTATTAGTTGGAGCTGGTTCAGGTTCTCTATTTAGTGCACTGCATGTATTTAAATGGTTTTTGACAGCGGCTTCGCTCAAAAGTTCCTTCAGAAACATCTTGCATACCCATTTAGTAGGGTAATCAGCGTGTGATCCATCATAACGTACCATAGTCCGTGGACAAAGTAATTTTTCTTTCGGTTGGAGGGTTGGGACATTCTTGTTCTTCCTTCGTTTCCGTGACTTGCAGTTCATAAATGGATTTTTTGACATCTTTTTTTACTTCCATACAAATGTCCAAATCTACAATCGTTTTGACATTGGTAGTAATCAGATTAATATAAAATTTATCACATACAACATCATTAATAGAATCTGTTCCACTCACTGGTAATCTAGATAGTGCGTCCGCATTACCATTGTCAATCCCTTTAATGAATTCTATTTTATAAGAATACCCTGATAAAAATACAGCGTAGCGTTGCAGTCTGTGAGCAGCCATAGTTGGTATGCCTACCACTAGGAATCTTACACTGCCTGTCAATTATTTGATTTAGATGTCTCTTCACAACATTATTATCTAAAGTTTTAATTAAGTAAGTTACCGGTGATAATTTTTTTCACACATTACCCGGTATCCACTTATCCCCTGTGCTATAATTCTTACACATTATGTTATCTCCAACTTCATAACTCTTCACTCTACCTCCTCTATAGGTCTTTTTAGCATTTTCCAAACTTTAATTATATTTATGTTTAGCAAAAGGTACTAATCTATCAAGTGATGTATTTAAAGGCCTGCCTAAATGCAACTCTGCTGGACTAACTCCAGTCGCACAATGTTTAGTACTATTATATGTTAAAACAAAATTACAAATATTAGTATCCATGTCAGTATTTTTAGCACATTTCTTTAAGAATTGTTTAAAAGTTTTAACTGTATTCTCCGCTGCCCCATTCGAAGAGGGGTTGTATGGTGGAGTTCTAATATGAAATACACCATTTTTGCTAAGGAATTCACTCATCTCGGTAGAACATAGAGAAGACCCATTGTCTGTAACCAATTTTTCAGGAATGCCCCATAACGAAAAATACTCCTTTAATATTTTACGTTCGGTTTTTAAATTCTTCAACTTATATTCAATTTCGTTTTCAGATAATTCTGGTGGTTTTTCATGTTTTTCCAAGTGCCGTTTCAAAGTGACGGTAATTGAAAACACCCGATCGCATTAATTACAAATGTAAGGAGTGATTTTAGCGGTTTCTTCATTATTAGTTGGAGCTGGTTCAGGTTCTCTATTTAGTGCACTGCATGTATTTAAATGGTTTTTGACAGCGGCTTCGCTCAAAAGTTCCTTCAGAAACATCTTGCATACCCATTTAGTAGGGTAATCAGCGTGTGATCCATCATAACGTACCATAGTCCGTGGACAAAGTAATTTTTCTTTCGGTTGGGGGGTTGGGACATTCTTGTTCTTCCTTCGTTTCCGTGACTTGCAGTTCATAAATGGATTTTTTGACATCTTTTTTTACTTCCATACAAATGTCCAAATCTACAATCGTTTTGACATTGGTAGTAATCAGATTAATATAAAATTTATCACATACAACATCATTAATAGAATCTGTTCCACTCACTGGTAATCTAGATAGTGCGTCCGCATTACCATTGTCAATCCCTTTAATGAATTCTATTTTATAAGAATACCCTGATAAAAATACAGCGTAGCGTTGCAGTCTGTGAGCAGCCATAGTTGGTATGCCTACCACTAGGAATCTTACACTGCCTGTCAATTATTTGATTTAGATGTCTCTTCACAACATTATTATCTAAAGTTTTAATTAAGTAAGTTACCGGTGATAATTTTTTTCACACATTACCCGGTATCCACTTATCCCCTATGCTATAATTCTTACACATTATGCTATCTCCAACTTCATAACTCTTCACTCTACCTCCTCTATAGGTCTTTTTAGCATTTTCCAAACTTTAATTATATTTATGTTTAGCAAAAGGTACTAATCTATCAAGTGATGTATTTAAAGGCCTGCCTAAATGCAACTCTGCTGGACTAACTCCAGTCGCACAATGTTTAGTACTATTATATGTTAAAACAAAATTACAAATATTAGTATCCATGTCAGTATTTTTAGCACATTTCTTTAAGAATTGTTTAAAAGTTTTAACTGTATTCTCCGCTGCCCCATTCGAAGAGGGGTTGTATGGTGGAGTTCTAATATGAAATACACCATTTTTGCTAAGGAATTCACTCATCTCGGTAGAACATAGAGAAGACCCATTGTCTGTAACCAATTTTTCAGGAATGCCCCATAACGAAAAATACTCCTTTAATATTTTACGTTCGGTTTTTAAATTCTTCAACTTATATTCAATTTCGTTTTCAGATAATTCTGGTGGTTTTTTATGTTTTTCCAAGTGCCGTTTCAAAGTGACGGTAATTGAAAACACCCGATCGCAGTACTTACAAATGTAAGGAGTGATTTTAGCGGTTTCTTCATTATTAGTTGGAGCTGGTTCAGGTTCTCTATTTAGTGCACTGCATGTATTTAAATGGTTTTTGACAGCGGCTTCGCTCAAAAGTTCCTTCAGAAACATCTTGCATACCCATTTAGTAGGGTAATCAGCGTGTGATCCATCATAACGTACCATAGTCCGTGGACAAAGTAATTTTTCTTTCGGTTGGAGGGTTGGGACATTCTTGTTCTTCCTTCGTTTCCGTGACTTGCAGTTCATAAATGGATTTTTTGACATCTTTTTTTACTTCCATACAAATGTCCAAATCTACAATCGTTTTGACATTGGTAGTAATCAGATTAATATAAAATTTATCACATACAACATCATTAATAGAATCTGTTCCACTCACTGGTAATCTAGATAGTGCGTCCGCATTACCATTGTCAATCCCTTTAATGAATTCTATTTTATAAGAATACCCTGATAAAAATACAGCGTAGCGTTGCAGTCTGTGAGCAGCCATAGTTGGTATGCCTACCACTAGGAATCTTACACTGCCTGTCAATTATTTGATTTAGATGTCTCTTCACAACATTATTATCTAAAGTTTTAATTAAGTAAGTTACCGGTGATAATTTTTTCCACACATTACCCGGTATCCACTTATCCCCTGTGCTATAATTCTTACACATTATGTTATCTCCAACTTCATAACTCTTCACTCTACCTCCTCTATAGGTCTTTTTAGCATTTTCCAAACTTTAATTATATTTATGTTTAGCAAAAGGTACTAATCTATCAAGTGATGTATTTAAAGGCCTGCCTAAATGCAACTCTGCTGGACTAACTCCAGTCGCACAATGTTTAGTACTATTATATGTTAAAACAAAATTACAAATATTAGTATCCATGTCAGTATTTTTAGCACATTTCTTTAAGAATTGTTTAAAAGTTTTAACTGTATTCTCCGCTGCCCCATTCGAAGAGGGGTTGTATGGTGGAGTTCTAATATGAAATACACCATTTTTGCTAAGGAATTCACTCATCTCGGTAGAACATAGAGAAGACCCATTGTCTGTAACCAATTTTTCAGGAATGCCCCATAACGAAAAATACTCCTTTAATATTTTACGTTCGGTTTTTAAATTCTTCAACTTATATTCAATTTCGTTTTCAGATAATTCTGGTGGTTTTTCATGTTTTTCCAAGTGCCGTTTCAAAGTGACGGTAATTGAAAACACCCGATCGCATTAATTACAAATGTAAGGAGTGATTTTAGCGGTTTCTTCATTATTAGTTGGAGCTGGTTCAGGTTCTCTATTTAGTGCACTGCATGTATTTAAATGGTTTTTGACAGCTGCTTCGCTCAAAAGTACCTTCAGAAACATCTTGCATACCCATTTAGTAGGGTAATCAGCGTGTGATCCATCATAACGTACCATAGTCCGTGGACAAAGTAATTTTTCTTTCGGTTGGGGGGTTGGGACATTCTTGTTCTTCCTTCGTTTCCGTGACTTGCAGTTCATAAATGGATTTTTTGACATCTTTTTTTACTTCCATACAAATGTCCAAATCTACAATCGTTTTGACATTGGTAGTAATCAGATTAATATAAAATTTATCACATACAACATCATTAATAGAATCTGTTCCACTCACTGGTAATCTAGATAGTGCGTCCGCATTACCATTGTCAATCCCTTTAATGAATTCTATTTTATAAGAATACCCTGACAAAAATACAGCGTAGCGTTGCAGTCTGTGAGCAGCCATAGTTGGTATGCCTTTTTTTTCACCAAAAATGCTAATTAAAGGCTTATGGTCTGTTTTTAAAATAAACTCCCTACCATAAACATATTGATGAAAGTATTTTACAGCAAAAACCAATGCTAAAGCTTCTTTATCAATCTGGGCATATCTTTTCTCACACTCTGTCAATGTACGAGAAGCGAAATCTATTGGCTTTTCAGTGCCATCGGAAAATCTATGAGATAGGACTGCTCCTAGACCCACAGGGCTAGCATCACATGCTACCACTAACTCCAATTCCGTGTTATAGTGTACAAGTACATTATTTGATAACATAGATTCCTTAATTCTGTTAAAAGCTACTTCTTGTGCCTTACCCCAAGTAAATTTACTATTACTTTTTAATAAATAATATAAAGCCCCTGCTTTTGAAGACATATTTTCAACAAACTTCGAATAATAGTTAACAAGACCTAAGAATGCTTTAACTTCTTGTACATTACATGGTGGTGGAGCCTCAGTAATGGCCCTCACTCGCTCTCGAGGAATATGTAACCCTTATTTGTCAATTCGATAACCCAAAAAAGTAACACTGTCCTTAAAAAAATTACACTTCTCCTTCTTAACCGACAAACCAGCAACATTCAATTTTTCCAAAACTAATGATAATCTGTCATCCAATTCATTTTTGTCTTTCCCAGATACAACTATGTCATCATAAAAACAACTGGTCCCGGGAATACCATTCAAAAGCTTATCCATTTCCCGTTGCAGTAAACCAGGTGCGGATGCTATTGCATAAGGCAATCTTTTAAACATATATAAACCCTTATGGGTAGTGATTGTCGTTAACTTTTGACTTTCCTTACTAAGTAACAATTGCTGATATGCCTGACATAAATCAAGAGTACAAAATAAAGTTGCACCACGGAACACATTCATTAAATCATTTACTCTAGGTATTGGGTACCTATCTACTTCCAAAAATTTGTTTAAGGTAACCTTATAGTCCCCACAAAGTCTAATAGCACCGTCTGCTTTGACTACTGGTACTATAGGTGTACCCCAATCACTGGTTTCAACTGGTACCAATAAATCTGCTGCAATTAATCTATCTAGCTCTTTACTCACACTGTCTTTCAAAGAGAAAGGTAAAACTCTAGGCTTACAAATATTGGTCTAGAATTTTCTTTTAAAATTAAATCAAATGTCTTAAGTTTGTAACAACCTAAGTCTGTTCTAAAAACTGAGGGATATTTATGTATAACACTCTGAAGTGTTAATGAATTAAAATCTATGCACTTGGATAAAATCTTCAATTCTATTAACCAATCTCTACCCACTATAGGCGGACCACCCTCTCTCACTACATACAAATTTAATACCTTATTTAAGTTTTTATACTTCACTCTACATTCCAAAATTCCAACTGGAATAATAATTGAACCATTGTACGCTTTTAACCCAATAGTAGTTTTTTTAAGATCCTCTATCTCCCCCAACTTAAAACTCTCCAAATCTTTTTTTGATATAACAGACAAAGCTGATCCTGTATCCACTAAAAACTCTATCACTTTATTACTAATATCCAATTTAACACAAAAAGGCTTAACTGAGTTGCTTCCGTCTGAGTCAAGATTACATAAATAGTATTGTAATAGGAGAATATGATAGCAGTAGATCTTAATCAGTATTATCCTATTACAAACATAACCTTAGATCATATACTATGTAGTATATGATCTAAGAACATAACTGTGTGTCATTGTGACCAACATTACAACTCAAACACTACATATACTATATATTATTTTACTTTGTCCACTGCTCAACTCTGCTATGCATTTAAAGTGCGAGGACTAATTTCTCCCACCATGCGGACGCCAGTTATGTGTGAAGTACAACTAGTTGGTTGCTGCCTGGTTGCGCTTTCTCGATGAACAGGATTATCTTACAATTTACATGCATTTTAATTACCGATGTAAAATAATGTTCATCAATATTTGAGGACACATTTGTATTTTAACTTGATATTACATAATAATAATAAATGGTCGAAATATTTTCAAGAATCGCAGCTCACTTTTTGTTTGCCCCTACTACAGTACTGATTTTGGATTAGGTATATAAGCTAATGACAAAAATAAATTGTTTCAATATTGAATGTTCAATTATTTAGTAAATATGTAGTTAATTTTACTTTTGTACAAATTTAAATATTTTTGTATTGTTCTGTTTTTGATTTGTCTTATAAAACTAAATTATTATTATTATCTCATTATTACTCTCAAATTCATATGAAATAATTTAGAATTAATTCTGTTGTATGCTATTGAAATCTGTATAATAAATAAATTTGATTTTAAGTATAACAATGTTGATTATTTATTTAAATAATAATATCTTGTGATATACTTCAAGCTATATTGGTATTAAAAAAGTAATTTAATGACTAGTTATTTATAACACTGAGTTATATTCAAAAATTGGATGTTTTGTTTGATTTAATATAATATTATCTTGA